TCATGTCAGAGACATAAAAGTATTCAATAGATGGCTTTTGCTCTGTTGTTACGATATCATAACAACAGAGCGAACAATATTAAACGTTTTAATCGCGATATAGCAAGCTTATTCAATAAAAACATATTTTTTGAGTACAGATCTCTAATTGTATTTACATTTTATACACACATTATCGCGTATTTACGTTTTTATTCTTAACATAGCTCTGTTATGCCTGATACCCCCTAGAAATTTTTTCAAAAACTATTTTGTCCAAATGCATTTTATCGAGTCTTTACGGTTTCTATGTCTTTGGACATGTTTATGGGTCAATTTCATTTTACTGATCCTTCAGAAATGCATGCATTAGGATTCACCTATACCCAAAGTGGTGAAGGGTATCATATAGTCGGCCCCATCCGACTTTACTACTTTTCTTACTGGTTTTTTAATGCACTTGAGAGTGTCCAGTTGTTTACTTTGTGGCTATGTTAAAGGTGGTCGACATCTTTATGTGGACTGACAGAACTGCAACTTTAGTGAGTGAGTGCCACTTTTTCTTCTGAAGAGATCAGGATTTTGTTTTGCCTTGACCTGCGAGCAGAAGGGAAGGAGAATTTTAAAGATTACCTTTCTTGTTGCTATAAATTTACGTAATTTTGGTAAAAGCCTCCTTACTTGGGATTCCATCGACGGTTGTTACTAAATGTCCTTTCTTCCCCAAGGGTTTCCAGTTTCATCCTTCCGTTTGCCATAGTATCAACGTAAATGAATTTGACTTATTTTGAAATATATTTACGTTTTTTTTTGAATATAGGAACATATTTAGAACTTGAAGGATTTGAATTCCACTCTTTTTATATTTGCTGCTTTTATTCTTCAACAACAAGTAGACAATTTCCACCAGTTCGTTTGCTGGGTGCCAAAACCAATGAAGTCATTCAAAGCCATTAGAAATTACTTTCACGTAGACAAAACATGGAATAACTTACGTGAGTTTTACACGAATTACACGTAAGGATAATTAAAATGACTTCATGTTTCCCCATCTATGAAATCTACGTTTAAGGATTGTAACATGAACACATATGTACCAACATACATAAGTATATGTGTGTAGTGCTGAAATAATTTCTAAGTATGAGTTGGGGGTTTTTTTGCTTTGCTTTCAAAGACATTTGTTTTTGTTACTTTTCAAATACATCGTGTGCCTCTTTTCAATGGGGGTTTCATGTGAAATTATTGTGTTTTCGATGGCTGTAATTAAAAGTCAATTTTCATTGAAAAGTTTTCAAATTGATGTGGTGCGGTTAAAATTTTCCCAAACACGTTGAGTAATTATTGCCAACCACATCATTAAATCTTATAAAAAATATTATATATTATGTGGGGTAGTCTATATTTAGAAAATCTATTAAAAAGTCTACAATACATAGAAATTTTATATAAATTGTAGAAAATTCTGAGAATATTTAAAAAAGGATCCAATGTATAGAATACCTGCAGAAGACCTACATTAAATGTGAGTCTTCCTGAAAGCCTTCTGCATATTGGAAAACTATAAAAAGTATATTAAACATATAACAAGGATGTTCGGCCGGCCCAAACTTTTTATACCCTCCATCAGAATATCTTAAACCAGTAAGGAAAGCAGTAAAGTCGGACGGGGCCGACTATATGATACCCTTCACCACTTTGGGTATATTTAACAGATTGGATCCTAACAGACGTCGCATTTTTGAAGGACCATTAACATGAAATTAAACATGTCATTCTGCAACCTATACTAAATTTTGCTCAGATATAGAGTTGCTTTTTACAATGGGACAAAATTATGTAAAAACCAGCAGTGCAGTTGTGAAAAAAGTTAACTTCTTTGTCAAAATAAATCAATCAATGATGGCCATTGTCAGTGGAAAACCAGTAAGGAAAGTAGTAAAGTCGGACGGGGCGACTATATGATACCCTTCACCACTTTGAGTATATTCAACAGATGAATCCTAACAGACGTCGCATTTTTAAAGGACCAGTAAAATGAAATTGGAACCATAAACAGGTCATTCTGCAACCGATACTAAATTGTTCATTTGGTCAGATCTTCAGGATTCAGGAAACCTAGCACACATCATTCAAGACCTGATTTGTTACGCTGTGCCAAATTTCGTGCTTAAATCGACTCAAAAAGTGATTCTATGCATATTCTCAAACGGAACCATGTGTCTGTCTCGTTTCCTTTTGCCTCTTACAAACATATGCACAAAGACATAATACCCTGTACCAGAAAAAAGAATTTGGTTCAAGAACCTCAAAACCTGGGGGCTACCAGAAAAAATTTACCAATATTTATAATTTATAGTGAAGAGATGTACTATCTAATAAGAACTCGACGTACTAAATTACAGTCAATTTGGTCGAAAAATACGATCAGAACCCCCAAAATACCAAAAAATTGGGGGTACCGTTATATGGGGACTACCAGAAAAACTAGACCTATATAAGAACCCAATGTACAACATTTCAAAGAATTCAGTTATAAAACGAGCCCAAGAACCCGAAAATACCGAAAATTGGGGGTACCCTTATATGGGGGCTTTCCGAAAAAATGTACCTTTATTTATAATGTTTGGTAGGGAGATTTGTTACCCAATAAGAACACAAAGTACTAAATTTCAGCGAATTCGGTCGAAAAATGCGATCAAAACCCCCAAAATACCGAAAATTGGGGGTAATCTTATATGGGGGCTATCCGAAAAAATTGACCTTTATATATAATTTTTGGTAGAGAGATTTGCTACCCAATAAAAACTCAAAGTACCAAATTTCAGCGAATTCAGTTAAAAAACGCGCTCAAAAACCTCAAAATACCGAAAAATTGGGGGTACCCTTATATGGGAGCTATGCCTAAACGTGGACCGATTTTCTCCAATTTCAATAGGGCCAATTCGTCCTTGGGCCAATTAAGTGACCTGTGCCAAATTTCATCCAAATCGGATCATAAATGCGACCTGTACTTTGTTAACAAAAATACATGGACAGACGGACGGACAGACAGACGGACGGACGGACGGACAGACGGACATGCATAAATCGACTCAGAAAGTGATTCTATGCATATTCTCAAAAGGAACCATGGGTCTATCTCGATTATTTTTGCCTGTTACAAACATATGCACAAAGACATAATACCCTGTACCACAGTGTGGTGAAGGGTATAAAAAGGTGATGAACTTCATAGTATATTGTCTGGTAGTAGGTACTTCATTTGAGAAAATGAAAAACCAAATTACATACACTTAGGTTGAATAACTGGTCTATTAACATCTACGTATTGACAGTCTGGAGGGGCCTTTGTAAGCCTATAAGCCTATATAGGCTTTGTAAGCCTATATTGAAAACTTTCGGGAAAAAGGTTTTTTATTCACCATGAATTTGGAATATAAGGAAAATTACCGCCACCTCGGAATACTGAAAATGCGTCACGCATCTCTTTATGTGGAAGTTATGTGAAAAGTTCGACGTCACATTGGTAAAAAATTGCTCCTATAACTTTAGAACTGCGTAAATAGGAAGGAAGCTTTATATGGGGGCTATAAAGACCTATGTATAAAGTTTACAGAAAAAATATGTTTTACCCCATAAACAACAGGAATGCTGCTAAGAGTGGTATGTCCAAAACTTGTACTAAATTCATATTTTTTTGTAAAAAAATGCACAAAGTCAAACGCCATAATTTTTACATTTTTTGAATGAAAGTAGTAAAGTCGGGCGGGGCCGACTATATGATACCCTTCACCACTATGGGTATATTAAACAGGACTATTAACATGAAATTGGATGAACAAAAATATGTGATATTTATCTAAATGTGAATCGATTTAGATCAATCCATATACATGTCATTCGTTTGTTACAATGGGACAAAAATATGTATATCGATTTCAAACAAATACCAATCGGACATCCGTTGGGTTGTGTCTGTAATTCTACAAAACATAACTACGTTATTCTATGCTCAAATTGTGAAAAATTTCATGTCAATCTGACAAACATGAGGAGTTTTATGCACCATTTACTTAAAATCGGACGAAAATCTATATGGAAGCTATGTCCAAATATGAACCGATTTCAACGAAACTTGTCACAATTTCCGTACGTTTTGTTCCTATCAGCCATATATTGGGTCTTTGGTGCGTCATTTACTTAAAATCGATCGATAATATATAAGGGAGCTATATCTAAATATGAACCGATTTTCACGAAACTTGGCACATTTCATTTTAGAAAAAATCGGACGTAAAAATATATATCTAAATCTGAACCGATTTACATGAAACTCAACACGCATAACTCCAGGCGCAATTCAATACGCTATGCAAAATTTCGTGCAAATCAAAAGATATATACGAACTTTAGTGCACCATTTACATTAAATCGGACGAATATGGGAGCTATATCTAAATTTTACCCGATTTTCACGAAACTTGGCAGACATCATTCTAAGCTCAATTCAGTCTCTATATATCTTTCGTGCAAATCGAAAGATATATAGAGACTTTGGTGCACTATTTACATGAAATCGGACGAAACTATATATGGGAGCTATATCTAAATCTTGACCGATTTCCTCTAAACTTGGCAGACATCACTCTAGGCTCAATTCAGTACGTTATGCCAAATTTCGTGGAAATCGAAGGATATATAGGGACTTTGGTGCACCATTTACATGAAATCGGACGAAACTATATATAAGAGCTATATCTAAATCTGGACCGATTTTCTCGAAACTTGGCAGACATCACTCTAGGCTCAATCCAGTACGTTATGGCAAATTTCGTGCAAATCGAAGAATATATAGGGGCTTTAGTGTACCATATTTTGACCCATTCCCGGCGAAGCTTTTGCTTGAAGTGACCGACACATAGGTTTTGCTTTCCAAAATACTCTAGACATAATAGTCCAACGGATTGGTATCCGGAGATTTTGTTGGCCATTGAGCGCTGAAAATGAAGCGAAGAACCTCATTTTGTAACCATTCTTGGGTGGCGCGTGCTCTGTGCGATTGTGTTGAGTCCTGTTGGAATGTCCAAGGTCTGCGTCCAAAATGTTTGCGTGCCCAAGGCTTTAATATACCCTCCAGAATATTTTCGAAATAATATTCGGCATTTATTCTGATGCCGATTAATACGAGCGGAGAGCGACCATCGGCTGTTATGGCGGCCCATATCATTACCATGGCAGGCACATGAGTTCTGGTGGCCAACCGAAGGTGCACATTTTCAGCTGACCTCTTTGGCAAGTAAACACGATAATTTTATTTTTTAAAAAACTGCTGGACAACGAATGTTTTCTCATCGGAGAAAACCAAATTCGGTAGTTCATCATTATCGGCCAGGCCTAGCAACTCTTTAGCTCTTTTGAGTCTATTTTCTTTCTGTTGTGGTGTTACCCCGATCTCATTTTTCAATATTTGCCGAATGGAATATTGTGATATGTTCAGCTCACGAGCCATTTTTCGGCTACTGCGACACGGGGTGGAACGAGACACAAAAGATTTATTCACATTTAAATATTGGTGTGCTCTAACGATAGCCACTTGTGGTTTTCCAGCCAAATATGAAGGAATCGCACTATCACGCTTGAATTTCATCACGAATAACCGAAATGTGGTGGCACAATTATATCGGTACCATAACATGGATCTGTATAAATGTTTTTAGAGAGTAATTTGGTGATTTATAACCAATTAGGGAAAAAACGTACTCAAACTATCCAAAATATTGGATATTTTTGGTAGAGAGATTTTCTAACCAATGATAATCCAAAATATCAGATTCGATCCAAGTTGGTTGAGGAATGTGCCCAAACTCCCCAAAAATGTACAACAGATTCTCAAAATATCGAATACATGGGGTATAGGTAATACCCTAAATTATGAACAAATTTCTTCCATGTTCAATAACCAATATCGTAGGAGTAAATGCAATGTATTTTCAAAGCTCTGTTGTGCATATTCCAAGCTCTGTCGTGACATCAGCATTCGGATGGATATCGCAAAATCGCAAAATATTACGAGGTGTTTCAAGGTACAGGGTATAATTTTCTCCTTATACCCTGCACCTTATGGTATAGAAACCTCTCCCATGTGCCTATGTTACTTGACAAACTTATCCCTTTTCCACATCCAGAACATACGATAAAATTTCCATAACATGATCCGATTTGGCACAAGGTTTTCATCATACATCACCATACGACAGAATATCATAGAAAAGATGTCAATATCATTACATGATGATTGGCACATTGATGAGTTGTCAAAGCATGCAATTAAGTATGACATTAAATTACATCAGGATGTTCAGTAGAAGGAAAGGAAGTGAAAACAAAAACAACACCACAACCTTCAATTAAGTGTGTTCAAAGTGAAATGCGATTGTGTTGGTGTTGGTGTTCTGGAAATTATTCAATAGGGATTTTTGGTTTCCTCTGTGTTTTCTCATTATTTTCATACTTTGAAATGTGAATAGTTTATTATGCTCTCTAAGATGCAAATGATATATCACACACATAATGTGAAAAATAGACATAGACACATATGTGTTTATACGTTTGTATTTTTTTTCATACATCGTATGTGCGAATGAGTTCTATGCATTCACACACTTTGCTATAACGTATACGCAATGAGGTACAATTACATCCTACAGTAAGCAAGCCGGATTTGCAAACAAGAGGTTTTACGTTTAGATTGAAGGAAATATGTAATTTATGAAAAAAAAATATTCAGATGTTTATTACACAATAAAGAGAAAGGCGTGTCGTCAATATTGAGAGACACATTTATCTATATGGCCACTACGTGTTTTCTTACAATAATTAATAATTTTCCTACAAAAAGTGATCAATATTGGTCCACTTTTTAGGGTAGCTCCCATCAGGGACGTACGCAGGTGGGCGGCCTGGGGGGCCCGAGCCCGGGCCCCCCTCCCGAAATGAATTTTTTTCACAGTAAATTTATGTTTACAACAGCGAATTTTTACATTTTGTACTAGCGCCCCCCCTCATTGCTGGCTCCCATATAATGGTACACCCAAAACTGTGGCAATTTGGAGAGTTCAATATGCCAACATTCAAATCGAACAGTTCGTTTGTATGATATCAGTTTGGGGGAAAATATTTCAATTATTTTATTTTGTATAAATGGTCGATCGAAAGTTATGGTCGCTCTTGGGCGATGTTACGACTGCAAACATGCCAGTCAACTTCGATCATTTCTCCGATTTCATCGACATTTTGGACGACCGGCCTACCTGTGCGAGGTGCATCTTTAACATCAAAAATTCCTGAAGGAATTTACGAAACCAAAAGTGCACAAAATTGCCTGTTACAGTATCGGAACCATAAACACTATTTATAATTTTAGCTGCTTGGCCTGCATTTTCGCCTTTGTCAAAGACAAACTGTAAAATGTACCGAATTTTCTCTTTGTTCACTTTAATTTTTAACACCCTGTAACTCACAACTGAATGCACCAAACAAAAAATAACCAAATTATTATACCCTTCACCACACTGTGGTACAGGGTATTATGTCTTTGTGCATATGTTTGTAACAGGCAAAAATAATCGAGATAGACCCATTGTTCCTTTTGAGAATATGCATAGAATCACTTTCTAAGTCGATTTATGCATGTCCGTGCGTCTGTCTGTCCATGTTAAATTGTAAACAAAGTACAGCTCGCATTTATGATCCAAATTGGATGAAATTTGACATAGCTCATTTGTTTGGCCCAAGGACGAACCCTATTGAAATTGGGAAAAATCGGTTCAGATTTAGATTTAGCTCCCATATATATTTTTGTCCGATTTAAGGTAAATGGTGCACCAAAGTCCCTATATACCTTTCGATTTGGACGAAATTTGGCACAACGTACTAAATTAAGTCTAGAATGATATGTGCAAAGTTTCGCGAAAATCGGTTCAGATTTAGATATAGCTCCCATATATAGCTTCGCACGATTTTAGGTAAATAGTCAACTAAAGTCCTTGGAAATCTTTTGACTTGCACGAAATTTGGCACAGCGTAATGAATAAGGTGTAGAATGATGTTTGCTAAGTTTCGTGAAAATCGGTTCAGATTTAGATATAACTCCCATATATAACTTCGTCCGATTTAAGGTTAATTGTGTACCAAGGTTCCTATATATCTTTCGATTTGCACGAAATTTGGCACAGCGTACTAAATTAAGTATAGAATGATGTGTGCAAAGTTTCGTGAAAATCGGTTCAGATTTAGATATAGCTCCCATATATAGCTTCGCCCGATTTTAGGTAAATAGTCAACTAAAGTCCCTGGAAATCTTTTGATGTGCACGAAATTTTGCACAGAGTTGTGAATAAGATCGAGAATGATGTCTGCCAAGTTTCGTGAAAAACGATTCATGTGTAGATATAGCTCCCATATGTATTTCATCCGATTTAAGCTAATTAGTGCACCAAAGACCCTATATATCTTTCGATTTACACGAATTTTGGTATAGGGTACTGAATTAAGTCTAGAATGATGTTGCTAAGCTTCGTGAAAAGATCCATAGCTAGGCCGATTGACACAACGTACTGATGTTATATAAATTAGTCTCTGGCAAGTTTCCCTGAAATCGGTTCATATATAGATTTATAACAAAACGCGTCGTCTGTTAGGATACATATGTAAAATATACCCAAAGTGTAAATGTAAAATATACCCAAGGTGAAGGGTATCATATAGTCGGCCCAGTCTGACTTTACTACTTCCTTACTGTTTTTTTTTTTGGATTTTAGACAAATTTTCTGAATGCCACATTACAGCCACTACAATGTGAGAATATGCTGCTAAATCCTTAAAAATTGACAATTGCCGCTATTGTTATATAGGGCTAGGTCAAAACGTTTACCTATATAGATAATTTTCTGTATATAGGGATTTCAGCTTTCACGAACCCTTTATAGCAAATTACATCCACATCGGTGTGAAAATGCAACCAAAATCTTCCCCACACTAAAATGAAGATTTTTTATTCAACGAGAATATAAAATATAAAGTTATGCCCAATTTTGTTGAAACACGAGCCTAAAAAACCGAAATTTGGGATATAGTGTTATATGGGAAATACTCTAAACAGTGGACCAATATTGAAAATTTTAAGTAGAAAGATGTTCTAACCAATTTAAAGCAGAAATGCCAAATGACCGCTTAGCAAAAAGCCTCAAAATACCGCAAATTTGGTGGTACCGTTATATAGGGTCTACACCAAAACGTTGACCGATATACCCTATTTTCTTTGTGTAAAATTTCAAAGTTCTATCTTCAGTATTGTGATTTCTAACGTGATTTCAAAAGACGAACGACAAAAATATATGTACTTTGTTGGATCTCCCGTGAATATTTTGCGGTTTTTCAAACGGAATGACAAATTGAATATACACTGCAACTTGTGGTGGGGGGTATAAAGGGCCCCATATAATATTTATCATGCCGTCATGCTAACGAGCACCTTCGTGTATGTGTGAGATTGACTAGTGTGTGGCAAACTCTTCAATCATTATTCCAAAAAATGATTTTTGTTAAAAAATCGCATTTTGAGGCATAGCTCCCATAGGCACAGGCATAGCTCACATATAAGGGTACTCCCAAATTTTCTCTATTTTGGGGTGCTTGAGCGCGTTTTTCAACCAAATTCGCAAAATGAAATATGTGTCTATCTCTTTTCCTGTACCACAGTGCTATGGTTTGCAACAAATGATTGGTAGAATTGTCTTTATAGGTCCACTTTTTGGTATGTTCCCCATATTTTCATTTCACGTAACAGTCAGTATTCCTATGGTGGAGGGTATCCAAAGTTCGGCCCGGCCGAACTTACGATTTGTTCACTTGTTATTCCATCACACTATCATTTACTATCAACTTTGACAATGAATAAAATTCACGTGGTTGAAAAGGTTTTTAAAATCAAAAATGCATAGATAGGTGTAGGGTATTATATGGCCGGCATCTCAAATTCTAACCCAGTTTTACCGTGTTCCATTAAAAAAGACAATGCCATTAAAAAAGACAATGCTAGGGTAAATACATTGTACCGGATATTCATTCACCAAACTGTAGCGCGAGCCTGTTCAAAGGAAACTGCATTAATGGCTTCCGCTTGACAAACTGCAATGGATGCTTGCAAAGCAACATCCTTTGGAAAAAAATCAAAAAGAGAAGGCGAGTTTTCTGTGTCTGATCTAAAAGTATGACCCACTTGGAAAGAGGATGAGCATATATAACATTGAATTACATATCAAAGTGTGTGCTTTTGTTTTCAATCCAACAGATGTTATTAAATATCTTAAATTCATATATCATTGATGTTATGACATAACTCTTCATGTCGAAATGTCCAATTGACAAAGCTGCAAAAAACTTTGAATAATTGTTTTCGATATTTGTCTTGGTCTGGGTTCATATTCTGGGGTTTTCAGAAACTCTGCTGCGGCTCTCTACGATTCTATTTTGAATTTCTTCCCCCTTGTCCCCTTGTTAACTGAAATAATTTCATTTCAATTTGGAACATTGAATCATTACATGCGTATCTCACATAACTTGGCTCGGTTATTTCTTTATCATAACCTTA